TAGGCAGTGGTACCAAGTCCTGGGCTCATTGCATGAGTTAGCTGTTTGAAACCTGGGACTTATGCAGGGACACTTGGCTCAATCTGGGAGGAGGGGACTGGACCTGCCTGGACTGAGTCTACCAGGTTGATCTCAGTCCTCGGGGGAGGCTTTGCCTTGGAGGAGGTGGGAATAAGGGGTAGGCTGGGGGGAAGGTGAGGGGGGCAGGAAGGGGGAGAACAGGGGAATCTGTGGCTGTTACATGGAGCTGAATGGTATTGTAGAATAAAATAAAATTAAATTAAAAAAAAAAAAGAAAGCATCGCTGTCCCTAGGATGGGTCAACCAGCCCAGCTCAGGTGGCCCTTTCTCTTGTGCCTCCCTGAAGATCCACCTTCCACACAGGAAATTGCCCCTACCCTCTTCTTGTTGGAAAAGAGATGGAATATCCCTTTCTGTCCAGAGCTAGAACTGGACGACAACTGTGCTGAGGCCCAGGCCTGGGAGCTGGATGGGCTCTGGACGACCATCACCGTCTTCATCAGCCTCTTCCTGCTCAGCATGTGCTACGGCGCCACTGCCACACTCTTCAAGGTCGGCACCGTTCCCCCGCTGTCCCTGTGATGTCCTATGTTACACTATTCTGACCCCCAGATGTCACCCTATTGTCCCCATACCTTCCTTATGTCCCCTGCACTGTCTCAGTGGCTTCCCCAAACTGTGTCTGTGTTACTCCCTCTCTGTGCCATGCTATCCTCACCTTGCCCTGGTGTGTTTACTGTCCTACCTGGTCTCTCATGCTGCCACCACATTGTGAGCCTGCTTGTCCATGCTGTCTCCATCTTGTTTCGGTGCTGTCCAAAAGTTATTGTTCATCTTTTCCACACTCTGTCCCCACACTTTCCCTATCATATCCCTCAAGCTTCTCTACAATGTTTCCCACTCTAATCACTCACTATTTCCAAACTGAATCCATGCTATCCCCCACACTGGTTCCTATATGTCTCTTCACCCTCTAGGTCGTGTCTATAAAAACTCGCACATCAACTACAGAGACATTTACTCAACCATGTTAATTGCTGTTCTATCCACAATAGCCAGAAACTGGAAACAGTCTAGATGTATGTCATCAGATAAGTAGATAAAGAAAATGTGGCACATTTACACAATGGAATATTACTCAGCTGTTAAAAATGAAATAATAAAATCTGCAGGGATCTAGATGGGGCTAGAAAAATATCCTGAGTGAGGTAACCCAGACAGAAAAAGGTAACATTGTATACATTTGCTTATACATGGATGTTACTTGTTATGTCTTCATGAGCAGGCTACCCTGGAGGTAAGGGACTAGGAGGGAGGGGAGAATCTTCCAAGGGAGGGGAAATAGAACAGATAGTTATAGATGGAAGGGCCTTAGTGAGACTGGAACAGGGGTATCGAACAGGCAAGGGCAGAGAAGTGGGGGGTAAGGGAGGGAATAGGGCTTAAAACTAAGGGCCATTTGAGAGGTTGTATGGAATCCTAATACAGTAGAACATCTTAAACATGAGCTCTCTAGCCAGGGAAGCAGGTAGGCTAATTTCAGATCTTTGCCTTCTTACAGGTCATGGTGTCTCTTTTGTAGCAACAGAAACCCTAAGACAGAAGTTGGTACTGGGAGTGGTGTACTGCTGTGATAGGCCTCACCATGTTTTTGTTTGAAGGAATGTGGACCTTGGGACTATGATTGGAAAAGCAGCTGAATACTTTAAATGATACTTAATTTGGCATCCTAGTAAGAGCATGAAAGACAGTGGTCCTGAGGGGGATTTGAATTGTGAGTGCCTGGATCAAGAGGGTTCAGAGGAGAAGGATGTTAGTATGTTGCCTAGAAATCATCCTTGTGATATTTTGGTGAAGAATGTGGCTGCTTTTTACCCTTGTCTAAAAAGTCTGCCGGAAGCTAAAGTGAAGAGTTTTGGATTAATTCTGTTGGCAGAGGAAATCTCAAAACAACCTAGTATACTCCGTCATGTGGTTATTAGTGTTAACTCTAATGAAGATTTATAATGAAAAGAAGCAAGCTGAACTGTGTAGATTACAAAATGCACAATTTTGTCTCCTTGTCTGTCTGGTTTTGGGGACCGTGGGACAGATGTATTCAGAAGAACTGCTCTGAGTGCTTGAGCCCATGGTAACGTGGTAACTCCCAGAGACAATTTTCCTTCACTTCGGGTGGGTTCCCGTGGCAATCATAACAGGAATGTGATTCTGAAGCGGACCTCAAGGACTGACAGGGAATCATGTGTCCTGCCCTGGGCAGCAGTCCTAGAGGACGGTCTCTTCCCCTTCACTCCTCTGACGGAGGACTGCCGAATTCCCCGTCCAAAGCACACGTTCTAGGGCCTTTCTCTTGATGGTCCTCGCTTCCGTATTTCCAAGTCCTCCTGCTAGCCAGAAAGATTGTTTCAATTGCCTCTGCTCCCATTCTCAGCTGACACCCAGAGTCATCGAGGACCTTTAGTTGGGGAAGCATCTGGTGGTCACAGCCTTACATCCGTGGCCGTCTGTCTTCCTCTGTCTTGGCCCTGCAGATATCCAGTGCCTTCCTATGCCTCCTATTTCACCAACCAGAATTTTAAAATATGTTTCCAGATTTCCTGTTTCTTAGTAGGAAGGGCTCATGTTTCCTGTGTGCCCTTAACAGAAACCGACATCTGGCATCTTTATAAAAACTACGTTTTCTGCGAACTGATGATTCATTGTAATGAATGTGATTTCTGTGTGTTGTGAGTGTAGTTGGCCGCATAAGTTTTTTCTTTGTTTTTTATAATAGTATCTTAAATATGTTTTTGTTATTTTTGAACATTTGAGCATCATTGTCTTTTTGAATGCTTTTCCATGTTCTTTTGGGACTTCCCTGCTTTTCCATCAGGATGGCTGCATAGACCCTGCTGGGCAACTGAACCTAACCTTTTTCTAGGACAGTACACTTTCCAGGGACATCCAATCCAAGACTGAAA